AAGGGGAGAAGCTGTCTCAAAACTTAAGAAGGTGTAAAGAAAACCTTATTAACAGAACTAAAAGAAACATAATAATAAGAAATAGAATAAGCTTTCAGAACACTTCTCTTCCCCCTGGCTTTTCTTTCTTTTCTCACTGTGAATGTAAAGAGACAAAATTTGGTACTTTCAGTCAGTTTGCCTCTTCTAAAATAATCTTCCTTCATTTCACTTGGGGAGAGGAGTCTCTCCTGCCATGCCATGGAGACTTTTCCACAAGAAACAGCTCTATCATGGCTTCGATTTCCATGAATAGCAGCCACCCAGAAATCTGCAGTCTCAAAGTCCCTCCCATGGATTGGTAGCTTCCCCACAGCTACCACCATCGGTCATTTCAGCTTACTGGGATGCAATTTTAAGGATGAGCTGTTCTAGTATAGAAACAAAATGTTCTCTTTTATCTCTGGGAACAGAGGTTTTCTTCGTCTATTCCTGGGGCAATGTTTCGCATCTCTCTCATCTCTGTCTGTTCAAGCTTCTCATTGGATCATACCTACTTCAACATCTGCCCATTTCAGCACTGGTGCCTCTGCTCATAGCTGTGGTTAGAACACTACATTCCCCTAATGCATTCCGTGAGTTACAGGAAAAAAAGTCTGATTTATCAATTGTTTCTTCACAATAAGAGAATTTCAGCCCAAGACTAAGGCCTCTCCTCATTCTCCTCCCATCAGGGATTTGACTCTCTTCACCGACCTTGATGCCTCCATGTTGTTCCATGTCTTCACTCTTTCTTTTTTTTTTTCCTCTCCCTCTCTCTTGGATTGATGTCTGCAAGTTTCATCTGTGCACTGAGTTAATATCTTGCCCAGGCCTGTGGATGGCCATGTGATCTCTGCCGGGCAGTGGCTGCTCAGGCTGCACTGCTGGCTTCTGGCCTCTGCTGCATTCAGGGCTGGGGCAGGCACAGGGCTGCTTTCTGCACAGGGCTACAGGCTCTGTTCTAAGCCACATGATTTTCTGTGGTGCCAGCAGGATGGCTCAGCAGCTCACAGTCAGTGCAGGGCCCAGCTGGGATTCACCCGGAGCCGAGTGGAGCCAGCCATGCCTGCCAGCCGTGGTTGGATCTCGGTAGCGGCAGAATCTCAGCCAAGCCGTGCTGCGGGCTGACCTGGCCATGCAGCGGAACAAGCCTGGCCCAGGCAGCACTGCAGCACAGCAGGGCCTGGCCCAGACAACATCCAGCTACCTGTCCAAAGGCCAGAAGCAAGAGAGCTTTTTCTAGGGTTTAGTTAGTTTTTAAATGTGCTTCCGTAGAGGAGTATCAATCTTTCTTAAGTGGTTTAATGGGGCATCAATATTCAAAATTAGCCATCTGACTGGTTCTGTCAGGAGCAAAGGAAGCTTTCAAGAAAGGAAATCACTTCTGTAGCTCATGGATTTTTTTCCTTAACTGAAAACTAAACTACATTAAACCATGACAATTTCTTACACATGCAGAATAATTAAGTAGAACACTGTACAATTAGAGCAATTGGTCCAGTCAGAGAACAGTGAATCAAAATCATTTGCATCCAAAGTGTTCTGTTCTGACCAAAAAGCAGAGGGTGCTCTCTGTGTATTTTGGCATGATTTCAAATTACAGTTTACTATTTAATCAGATACGTGCTATAAACTCAGCAATTGCCATTAATGCAATTGCATTATGCAATTATATGCATAATGCAGCCATTATGCTCCATTAAAATCGGCCAGGAAGGAATTCTTTCCCCCAATTCTTTCAACCTCTTTTACAGCACTTCCTGCTTCTGTAATTTCTTTAGAGAAGCCTTCAAAGACATGAAAATTAATTTTGTCACAGCAACATCAGATTTGCCTTTACCGCAGGCATAACCACAGGGCAATGTTTGCCTGGTCCAGTTCCAACTCTGCTGGAATTTCAAGCAACAGCAGTTCCTAGGAAGCAACTTAAAGCAGCCACAGTTTCTCGGCAGGCTGTCAGCCACTCCACTCAGACCCACACGTGCACAACAGCAACAAGCACACACAAACAGTGCCCAGCCTATGCCAGCCTCACGGCATTGATGCACTGTCAGCAACAAAGCTGAAGCATTAACAGCAGCAAAGGGAAAATGCCCAAATCCCCACCATACTCCCCTTGCAAAGAACATGCCAGCTTCTTGATGGTACGAAGAAGGAGGTGAGAGGAGCCACTCCCCAGTTGTGAGCTACATTTCATTTTCCTACCTCTGTATACTTCAAAAGCAGCTGTAAAGAATTCAATATTTGGTACACACAGCCATATTAGTAAAGAAAGTACATACACATATTTAATCTATAAAAGCCATTCACTGACTAAGTTCCATATACAACTCCCTGCATGTCCAAAATAAAAAAAACCATTTACCTTGTGCACAGTGTAACTCACTCTAAGCTCTCAGCAGTTCTGCCTTGAGATTATATAACCCTGTAGCCCCTCCTATAGAGAACTGCAAACAGTTCTCTACAAATGGGAAACCCCTTTCTCTTAAGCAAACAAAACCAATTAGCTCTGTTTAGTTACTTCTCACCTACAGGAAATAAATCCCTGACTAATGCTGACTATGTACAAATGTAAGATAGAGGAGAGGTCATGATGATTTGGAACATCTGTCCCAGCACAAAATGGTAATATGCCTTCTATTTTCATTACTTGGTACCATGCTAGTTAAAAATAATTGTAATGGCTGAAAAGTTCACTCGGTTTAAAAGAACACTGCTATGCCCATCTGTGGAGGAAGCCCAGTCCTCTGACAGGCATCCTCCCTGGAGATCTGCCCCCTAAGATAGTATAAAACTGCCTAGTCACTGTGACTAAGCTGTGGACATCTTCCTGCCTTAGGATCCCATGTTATCTCCCTGTTAACTATTGGTCATCTTACCCTGGTTTCAGACCATAGGCCCCTTTTCCAGTTCTCCCCTTCCCTATAAAAACCTGAGCTTCTGCCGAGATCAGGGTTAGATCATCACTGGCCCCCTTGGCTGAAGCCTGCAATAAAGGACCCTGTGGAACACCACATGGTCTGTCATCTCTTGTCTACATGCAGCTGGGGTAACCCATGAATGGAGCTGGCAAGGCTGATCTGAGCTGATCACTAAAAGAGCTGATCAAGCCTCTGCCTATGCTCCTAAGGGTTACTCCTGACTGGAAATTGCCTGGGACTCCCCAGACAGTGACTCCTTCCCAGGATGTTTATCTAGGTTTGTTGCCAGCAGAACTGGGGGTCAGAGAGACCCTCAGACCCAGCTGAGACACCAATCCCACTTTTATTCTAATATTTTCTGGTTTTCTACTTCTAACACCTTGCCACTTTATGTAAGTCACATCAACTAATTCAGCTCAAATCTTTCACATGCTTCCGTGCTTTGCTTATTATATATTCTTTCAGGATACTTCTTCAGAATTTCACAACTGGACAACTGGGTGGAGCTTTTTTTCCTTCTCTTTTTCTGTCAAAAATGTTTCCTTGAACATGGCTCAGTGAAAATACAGACCAAAGACAAGTGTAAGAGACAGTGAATGAAGTGTGGTATCAGAAGGCAAACTGCTCTCTGCACTACTGACTGCTTTTTTGGTTGATTGTATTGATTTCAAAAAGTCAATACAGAATAAACTCCCATGCCCCCTCCTGTCTATCTAATCAATCTGGTTAATATTGATGCAGCCATTACCTGCAGTCAAGGTCAATATATACATGCAAAATGTTGTGCAATTGCCCTGATCATAACTGAGAGATGGGATATTCTTCTTATGCTACACAGAGAGATTGTATATATTGCAGTGTGTCACACAAAAATAAATGGTTGTTACAGTACAAGGGTGTTGTGGTTTTAAACCAATAACTAAGAAAATTACTTATTTCTTGCTGTGAGATATGGATTAGAACAAGAGCAAAACAGGCATAAAACTTAAAAGGAAAAAAAAGAAAGTTTATTGACAAACTACAATAATAAGAACANAACTGCTCCCAGCTACATCACATTTCATATGAAGAAACTGTTGGCTTTAGCAAGAGCTACAGCACCCTGAGTTTGCCCAGCTGAAAGCTGCCAGTGCTCTAGTTGTAGCTGGATTTAGGACACAGGCTCTTTCTTTTGCAAACTTGGTTTATTTGGGGTTTCAATAATATCACAGAATCATAGAATGGTTTGGGTTAGAAGGGACCTTAAAGATCATCTAGTTCCAACCCTCCTGCCCTGAGCAGAAACAGCTTTCACTACATGAATGCACATATTTATCAAAGTTCAGCAGTCTTGGTAACCTCAGTAGTGGAGCTTGATTTAAGTGATTGGAAGAATGAACAACTCCAGTACAGCTTGTATTAGACTTGGTTTGATATACAGTGATGTAAGTCAATATGGATTCCTACATTCCAAGGTCTCACTAGAACCTGACACCATCCTGACTCCTCCTTTCTCAGTAAGTTTTAATCTGGTGACAAGCATTTGTTCCTCAGATTCTGCAGAGGGCTTTTAGCTGCTACAATAGACCTTCTGATAAAGGGAACCTTGGTGAAGCTGCAGTACAAGAGTTTGTGTGTCTAGTGACAAGACAGAGGTGCAGTAGGACCTCTGGTCCAAGCACATTCCAAGTTAAGCTCAGAGGAAAGCTGAATCCAAACCTTTCATCGTGACCTCACCAGAAGCTGCAGACTTCTCCTGGCATTTCCCAGAAAAAATACATGGCCTACTGTTTGGGATAATCTCTCCTAATTTTCCAGCAATTCTTGGGAACGCCAGAAAAACAGAACTAGAGAGACCTTGGGCTAAGAAGTAGCAGCAAGAAACCAATGAACAGTGGCGTTTTGAGTATCAATAGCAAGATTTTATTTCAGGTATTCTAATTAATTTAAGGCACCCTGTGTTGTCCAATACACCCTCTTACCCGTGAACTATTTCCTTTGCTGCTAGGATCACGCAGGTTTATCTTGAAGAGTCTGCAGTAGGATAAAACCAGTCCAGTAGCTAAGGAAAGAGAGATCAGGCATCCTGTGTTGTCCAACATACTCCCAAATCTGTGAACTATTTCCTTTGCTTGTAGGATCAAAAAACTTGCTTTTAAGTGTTTTCCCACTGTCAGCAAACATAATGAAATAGTTTTTGGAGCTTGAGGCTACTGCTCAGTAGAAAATTTTGATCACTTTGGCTACGTCCTCCTCTCGTACTGGGGGTTTCCTCTGGCTGCCAGGCTGCAGGAATTTCTTTATTGTGGGGATATTGCTTATTCTTGCTTTGAAGCGCTACAAAACAAAACCAAAAAAAGCACAGTGCTTGAGAATCTGTGCAGCTGGCAGACATTTCCATTTTATCCACACTCTGAAAGTTACATTAAGGCTTGATGCTGCAGAAGAAACTCTGTGCCTCCCCCTCTCATGCATTTGGGGTGGTAGTGACAGAACATGGCATAAAAACAAAGAGTAGCTGGGGCCAGCTAAAAGTTCTTAGGGTATCTGATTATTTTGCACATCACTTCTGACCCTCCCACTCTCCCATATTTCTCAGCCAGTTTAAATCAGTGGTCATTTCCAATTCATTATCCATTCAGACTGCCCACTCATTTACCTGCAGGAGAGGAAATTGGGCAAGTATATCAGGTTTGAACTCCTCTGCCATTAAAATGAGTTCCAGTAATTGCACATCTGCCCTGCTCAGCTGGTTGCCAACCAGGAAGTCTTTTCCATGGTCTTTCAAAACCTAAAAACACAGAAGCAGAAGGAGATGATGTCTTTTCTCTGTCTTACTTAATAGGATATCTTCAAAGAAGGGCCATCCATGGCATGAAGCTGTCTGTGAAAGAAGGAGATGCAGTTCAAACATCTGTAGGACAAATACTGATCTGATGGCACTGCCATCCTAGGCATAATCTAGCAGCTCTTTCTCTTCTACACTTCTGTCTGGCAGCTCAGTTGTGCTCATCTTGCCTTGGCTGCTGTAGCTGCACTGAAGACTAAGCTGCATGAGATAGAGAAGGAACTGTCATGCTTTTACATAGCATGTATGGTAGAGGGCCATCTGCAGCTCAGGAGGAATCTTGATGTCAAAGCTGATGCTGTAGTGTCTTCTGTCTGAAACAACACACAGATACAAACATGGACATTTGGGAACTCAGTGTGGGCTGGGTTTTCACAGCTTTACATCTCTCCCAGACTGGAAGGGCCTTCTGTCCCCTCCATAGTGTCCTGTCTCCACCTTACTCCCAGCACCACCAAAACCAGACCATTTATATTCCAGTGGTAGTTTTTCTTCTGTTTTCTTCCACAAAACTCTTGTGGATCCATGATGGCTGTTCAAGATACCAGTATCAATTGAGCTACAAACTCTTTGCCACATACCTTCTCAAACACTGGGAAGTATCTGTTTGTTGCCTTGTCCATCATATTAGCAAAATGCTGCTCTTTTTTGTCTGCTGGTTGTATTACATACGTCATGAGTAACTCATTCAGATCAAACATTCCTTCCACGTACATATCGATTCTGAAAGGAATAGATCCACTTGGTCAGGTCAAACACAAGTAGTTGTGAACAGCACAATTACTCCTCACATAACCTCTTTGAGATGCTGGGAAATCCCAGCCTCTTCTTTCCCACACACACAAACCCAGGCAAAGTTCCCCCAGGAATGCAGTTGCAATGAAGGCAAGCATGGGGGAGTTTGGGTGAAAGACAAATGCAAAATTCCAAGGCAAAATATAAAGACTGTACCACTCTCAATTCTCACTACGACTGATACGTCTCTAGACTATGGGTTTTGGAACTTGACTAAAAATTGCCATGTGTGCCATCCAAACCTGTTATAAATCCTATCAGACAGGACAACTTTAACAAGAGGTCCATATGATTTCTAGTAAATATCATAACATGTGTTTACCAGGGCTTACTAAACTGAAGTACACAAATATACCCCAGGTCAAAACATATGCCCTAGGAGTTCTGTCCTTTCATTGCCTGTTATTAATTCTAATTCTATACTAATTCCTGGTTATTAGAGAGAGGAGTGATTTTGTTTCCTTCAAAGACACTGCCCTGAATGTGGTGAGGAGAAAATGACGCTGCCGACAGCTGCAGGAGAAAATGAAAAGCAGCATCAGTAAGACAATCTGCCCCCCTGAGTGCTTTCTTCTGATGACTGCATTGATCTCTGATTGATGATTTATGGGCTCACATGCCCTGTATAATCGAGCTGGCTACCACTGCTGTAGACATCACCTGCAGTCAGAGCCATCTCATGCTGCACAAAACACTGCTCTGCCCCCTGAACCTCGCTGTGAACTGGGGTATCCTCGTGTTACACTGAGCTACAGTGTGAGCTGGGCTCTAACAAGCAAAGGTGGTAGTGTCACAGTACAGGGCTCTCTCCTTCAGGTCCTTCCCACAGAGGTTGTACTTCGTTGCTATGTAGTTGGCAATGGCTCTGGTCTGCACCAGCTTCATCCCGTCCATCTCTACCATTGGCACTTGCTGAAAGAGCAGGGATCCATCTGAGGGAAAGGGAATAACACAAGGAGGTGTTCAGTCCCTGCATGACAACCACAAGTGTGTGTTAGGCAAAGGAACCACATGGATTACTTTTTATTTAGAATCTGAATCATTTAGGTTGGATAAAAAATATTTAGACCAACAGTGGAACCTTTCAGATTTGAGGGAACAGCCAAATGCAGAACTTTAAGCTGTCATATACTGAAAAATACGTGCACTGCATATCCCTAAATCAGGTGATTTTCATGGAGATTAATGAACAGATGGGAAGGACTGAAGGATCTGACCCAGACACTTTCTCTCATGATTTATAAAGAAATATATTTGGACTTTCTAGGCACTGGCTAATACACAAGGTGGTGAATAATAATGAAAATAAAGAAGAGTAAATATAAGAGCTTGAACTGTCTTCGTGACTACTTTATTAACTTTACAAATGGCATCTCATCTATACAGGCATGAAATCAGAACCATGAGCGAGTTCCATGAGATTCCTGCAAGACCCAAATATCAACTGGCATGAGGATGGAGCCATGCAACTCTTTTGCAAGCTTCCATGAAAGGAGTGAAAATACCTTCAGAAATAGAGGTATCTCTATTTAAATCAGAGATAGGTCAGAGAAGTGAGTGAGAGTTATTGCTTTTTGAAATCATATTTCTTGATTCCAAAAACTGATCAGCTATGTACCTCTGTGTAAAGGTGTATTTACCTTTATGCTGTGTCCCAAATACTTTTTGAAAGGCAGCCTGTAGCACAGGTATCAAGACATTATTCCTAAAGGACAGCAGGACTGCAAATGCTACCCCTAGCTCAGATTTCTTTTGACAGGCCAGGTGAAGAGCACAGACATGTAATTTGGACTGGAGGAAACATGATTATCATGTTCAGGAAGATGGAAGCTGAAGCTAGCACAGTGGGTAGTTGCCTTGGGAGAGAGGAATGCAGCTGAGGTGCAAGCAAACTCAGAAATCTGGAACTCCCTTTTCATAAGGATTATAAAACAACAACTTTGTAGGCAACCTAAAATGCTAATGAATTTCAAGAGGATCTGATGACAAAAGCCTCTGTTGCCATAGGATGGAGGGCAATGGACACAAGCTGAAGCAAAGGAGAGTCAACCATCTGAACTTAAAGAAAGGCTCTTTGACTCTCCGGGTTGTCCAGAGGAGCTGTACATTCTCCATCCTTGGAGATACTCAAACCC